CTGAAGGAGACTCAGGAGGGGATCTGTTGGCGACATACAGGTATGTGAGGGGATGTCACACGGAGGTGAGGAGAGACCTGTTCTCCCCTGCAGAGGAAGGCAGGATGCGCTCCAACGGAGCAAAGCTCAGGGAACCCAGGCTCCATTTGGATGCCAGGAAGCACTTCCTGACAGTCAGGACCCCGAGGGTGTGGAATGGGCTTCCCTGAGAGGTGGCTGAGGCCCCATCAGTGAGGGTGCTCAAGGATAGGCTGGACGTGCACATGGTGGGCATGTCATGAGCAGAGCTGGCTGGAGCCGGGGGTCAGACTAGATGGCCCGGGAGGCCCCTTCTGAGTTGCTGTTTCTACAATGAACTGGGGAGCCAATGACTGCCCCGTTAATCGAGACACTATCAAGTCGGCAGAGCAAATCGATCTGCGTCAATGCAAACGACGAGAAAAATGGATGGAATGTAAGGAGAAAGGAGCATCTGCCAAACAGGCCCGAAATGGACAATGAGGGGTTATAAAGTGAGGGTGGCTCAGACCATTGCAGGATCAAGATGTCCCATCTGTAATAGGGAGGGAGGGTGGCCCGGGTGACGTGAGCAGCCATGCCCCGGGCAAATGAGCGAGGCTGGAGCGCTGGTCTGGTGCAGGGCGGAAAGTCAGCCTGGTTCCAGTCCTCACTCGACGGCAACGCTCCCTGGGTGACTTTGGGCCACTCGCAGGCTCCCGGCCTGCCTACCTCACAGGGTCGTTCTGAGGATAAAGGAGGAGGGGAAGGAGGATTATGCAAGCTTCTTTTGGGTTCCTTTTTTTTGCGGGGCGGGCGGGGGAGGGAGTCAGGAAATAAATAGAATAAATAAACTGAAGGGAAACTCCCTGCGCAAATAGAGGGATAAGGGATTTAGGATCTCCTTTGGAGCGTATAAAATGAAACTAAAAGGGGAGCTCCCTTGATCTCAGTCTTGCCGTGGATGCGGACACAGAGCTGGCTTGTTCTTGCCCCAGCTTCGAGCCAGTCGGACCAGTGGCGCATCTTCAGTGGCCTTCCGAAGTCTGTGGACTCTGGGCTAAAACTATCCACCAGAAAATACTTTCCACAATACAACTGCAAATACTCAGTAGGAAAAGGAAATTAACAAGTCCAGTCATGATCCGAGGAGTGTACTGAGAGGAACTGTGTACAAAATCTGCCCGTTTTCCCACAAAAATTGCTACTCTAAGCTGGCAAGTGCTTGTCAGCCGCAGCAAAGGGGAGTTAAATTCAAAGAGGACACTGATGTCTTTGTGAACAGCTTGTGAAATTATGCAGGGAACAGGCTGGGTTCAGACAAACACAATATCCTATCAAGGGATTGCCATGGAACAGCGGGAAACGTCCATTTCTTAATCCAACAACCAACTATGGTTCTCATCCTGGATGTTCATGGTTAGCAATCATGGCTTGTTAGTCCAGCTGAACTCAGGCAATAACCATAACCCACAATGCGGTGACAACCCGTCCTCAGCCCCCGAGGGTGGGTTCTTGTGTCGTGTGAATGCAGCAGTGCTCGAATGCAGCCACACCGCTGCTCTGGGAAGCATCCCAGGGAACTAAGGAAAGGTGAGTGATCAGGTGGGGTTAGCACTGCCAGGTAAAGGCAAGTCAGCAGGTGACCTGTTGGATGCAATTAAAATTATATCGAGGCAATTTTAATGGCGCTTCCTTCTGGTTTCAGAAGGGCTGCCAGCCATCTCTCGTCTCTCAGAGAGGCCACTGCAGGACTCTGACTGAGGCTGCCGGGAAAGCAGCCATCCTGCACAGGCTTAAAGGAAAGGGGGTCCCCCCTGCCATGTTCCAGAAGAGCCCCTCAGGTGCTTCAGAGAAGACTACAAAGGTAACACAGGGACACTGAACCCCTACAGACCGACTGGGGTGTGGTTTTCCCTTGATGTTTTCAGAATCACATGCAGGATTTTAGAAATCTGTCGATCGGCCAGAGGGCTTTCTGCCCTTCCTTCGCAAGGCAGGTAAAACCTACAAGCACACGGCATTGTCAACAACTACTGCAAGTTCCAGGCATGAAGCGTAGTCAGCCAGCCTTGCGGGTAGGTTCCTCTCCTTTCCGCTCCGTCTGGGAGCACCTCGAAGCCTCTGGCCCTGCAGAGGCAATCTGCCAATGCACGCCATTTGCTGGGGAACATGGTCAGGAGGGTGCTGCAGCCGGCTAGCGACTCTTAAGAGAATGTGGGACGAGATGGACCTTGCGTCTGTTTATACTCAGACAGTTAAATGCCGTAGGGCCTTGTGAAAACTGGCCCAAAGAAGTGGGTTTTGCAAAAAGGTGGGCATGTCCAAGCCCCGTGGAGCCACCCCGATAGCAGCACCAGCACCTGGATTAGTCTCTCTGCATCCCATGTGCATCCTTACTCAGGGCATGTGTGTGCGCATGTGCATGTGAGGAAGGAAGAGAGGGGGAGAGGGGGCACACCAAGGGTTATTGCAGACCTTGGAAGACCCGGAAGAAATGCATCCACACCACATCGCACCAATGAATGCGATGGCTCTGAGTGGCACGTCAAGCAAACCAGCGAGGCTTTGCTGGGTTTCCTTCCACGGCAAGTTTCTTCCCCCTCTGTCTTTGCTTTGTTTCTTTCCACTGGCCAAACGGGAGCACGGGGAGACATTTCTGCACCTCCCTCCCCACGGGATCTTAGCAGGCGCTGCCCCTGGCATTGCCTCCTGGCCAAAAACCCCACGCGCGTGGCCGGGCACCCGTTGCTTCCTGGCTGCTGGCGTGGGGAGCCATCGTCCCCGAGTCCAGTACGAGGCGGACAGCGCATGGCACGTTATTTCCCTCACGTGGGCACGAACAGGCATGCGCAACTGCCAGCACAACACTGCGGCGCATCAGAGCAATGCTTGTTCGGTCCTTCCCGGCTGAGCTCCCCCGCTCAGGTTCTCTGTGCATTTGTGAGCTGTGCCGGAGCATTTCCCCAACATCTGCAGCTCTTGCGACCTCTGCAGTTCAGGTGGCAAGATCCCGAAGGCCACAGAATTAGGCCGCATGCGAATAAAAGCCAGCGTGGTTAAGAGCACGGGACTGGGACTCCGGCGATCCGGGTTCGAGCCCCCGCTCGGCCAGGGAGTCCACTGGGGCATGTTGGGCTGGTCACAGACTCTCAGTCCAACCTACCTCACAGGGTTGTTGCTGTGGGGATAAGACTGACGGCTGGAGGAGGAGAATGATGGAAGCTGCTTTGAATTCTTTAGAAGAAAACAGGCAGAATAAAAACCTAATAAATAAATAAATAAATAAAATAGTGCTGCTGCTGGGCTGGGGGTGGGGGGTCCCTGAGTGGCTCGGGGGCTCCCCCTCCTGCTGTCCTGCCCACCCACTTCTTGTTGCACCTGCTCCTCCTCCTCCTCCTCCTCCTCCTCACTGACCCGGTCACAGGAATCAGAGCTGCAGCTCTTGCCCAGAGCTCCCCGTTTTGAATGAAAGGGGTCTTTTCTTAACAGCAGAGAAGCAAGCCAAAAACGTCAGCTCCTTCTTTTTGGGGGACCCCTCCAGGGAGGATGCTGGAGTGGCTTCAGCGTATGGCGGTTCTGGACTGGTTTAGTTTGCTGCCCCTTGAAGTTAAGAAGGAATTCAAAATACATTCCCCCTTTGGATGGTGCATTGTGTGGCCGCAGACCTGACGGGCTGCCTGCCCCAGCTTTTTCGTTACAAACAGCAACTCGGAAAAGGTTCCAGCACTAATACTAATCAGGGGGCTCCTCCCAGACCACGAAGCCCAGGCCTGTGCCCCAAGGTCCCACTGTGGTGGCGCGACAGCATTTAGGGTTTTGCAATCCTGTGTATAACTCTCTTTCCTCTGCAACGTATCTTTGGTCACTTGTCCCCAAGGCACGCCGCTAGGGGACACGTGTGGGATGAGAGCAGCTCATGCATGTAAGAGCTCTGTGCACGCTTCACATGTGCATTTTCCAAATGTGTGTTTTGGGAACCATGAGGACTAGGAACTTGCTTTCCTCGCAGTCAACAAAGTGGAGGCAGCCAATGTTCTTGGGAGTCAGTTCTGCTGGGTGGATGCCCGGCTTCAGCACCCAAACACCATTCCCACAATACTTAAGACGTTTCCTCCTGGGGAGCGTTGCCAGACTCTCAGCCCACATAAACTGCAGGGCGGTTCCACGTCCAGGTTTCAGCACATGCCATTAAAGGGGCTGCGAGGAGCGAGTGACAGACTCAGAGAGAAGCAGACATGGCACTGGGGACACAAGCGGACACACGCTGGACAGGCCATGGATGCTAACCGTGCCTCCTCGGCCAGACTGGAGGCCCCTGTGTGCACAATGCCGTTTTCTGAACCGACATGCAGCGGGGCCAGATTCCACCCCCATCTGCAGCTTCCAGAGCTGACCCACTGCTCCCCGGCGGCTGGTCCTCCAGGCCTAGAGGCAGCTTTTGAAGCTGAAGCTCCCGGCTCCCAAGGGCCGCTCACAGGTCCCGTTCAGAATGGGAGCCTCCTGCTTTCACAAGAGACCCGAAGGCTGGGGCCCCTCCTTCTCGCAGCAATACTAACACTGTATCCTGAGCAGTCCCCCGCTGAGCCCCAGCGCGGGGCAAGAATGACGGGAGTCTCTCCCCAGTCATCCTGTCCCCCGGGATCCCATCTGGGGAGCCGGCGGGCCTGCGGGACGGCAGCACCCTGCCCTCCGCCTGCGAGTCCCTCTGCGCCTCGTCCAGCACGAGCGGGGAGTCACACCATCTCCAGGGCCAGCGTGAACATCCTCACGGCCCCTTTGCAAGCGAGGAGAGGAGTCCCGGCAGTCCCTCGCTGACACAGCAACACGTCCCATCCCAGTGAAGACACCAGGGCCACCGAATGGGGCTGGCATGGCCGCCGGGGGGCTTCTCGCCTCCCCTCCTGGCCGGGCAAGCCAGCAGCAAGGGTGCCTGCGTGCTGCGCAGCGGGAGGCCGGTACCGCATGGCCCCCCCACCCCGGCCCCGGCCCCGGCCCCGGCCCCGGCCCCAGCGGGTGCTTGCGTCCACACTGCTCCGGTGCGCGTCCTTCAGGAGTCGTGCTTCCATTTGGAGCTGACCTTGTCCAGCAGGTACCTGGTGCTCTCCCGGAACTTGCGCTGGGTGAAGTAGAAGAGGATGGGGTCCAGGACGCTGTTCATGCTCGCGAAAGGCCGGGTGCACTTGTAGGTGATGGCGAAGGCCTGCCGGGTCAGGCAGGGGACCCCCGGCATGGCGCGGACAATCAGGTACATGGTCTTGGTCAGGTGGAAGGGGAAGAAGCTGATGGCGAAGACCAGCACGACAATGATGATCATCCGGATGGCCTTGTCCTTCTTCTTGCGGACGGCCAGGCCGATCATCTCGTCCTTCTGGCACAGGATCTTGGTCATGCAGCAGTAGCAGCCCAGGATGGACACGAAGGGGATCAGGAAGCCCGTGACAGTCAGGGTGATGCCGTACGGGAAGTAGCTGCCGGAGCTCTCCGGCGTGCTCAGGTCGTAGCACACGGTCCGGTTCCTCTGGATGCCGGTGGAGGCGAAGAGGAAGGTGGGCAGGCACTGCGCTGCGACCAGGAACCAGACCAGGCCGCATACCATCCAGGTGAAGCCCTTGCCCCGCTTCTTGTGCCAGGTGGAGAGCGGGTGGCAGATGCCCAGGTAGCGCTGGACGCTGATGCAGGTCAGGAACAGGATGCTCCCGTGCAGGTTGGTGTAGAACTGGAAGCGCACGAAGCGGCACGTGAAGTCGCCGAAGGGCCAGTAGTCCTTCTGGGAGTAGTTGTAGATGAGCAGCGGCAAAGAGCAGACGTACAGCAGGTCGGCCGCCGCCAGGTTGAGCATGTAGATGGTGGTGCGCGTGAGCGCCTTGCGGGACAGCCAGATCTGGGCGATGACCGTGGCGTTCAAGGGCAGCCCCAGCACGAAGACCGCCGAGTAGACCACGGGCAGCAGGATCTGCTTGAACTCCTCGTGGTACGTGCAGCTGTCCTTCTCGCCGGCAGCGGAGGTCAGGTTATCCATGTCGAACGTCTGGGCGTGCTGGACTCGGCCTGGCGCCGTCCCCTAGGCCATCAGAACCTGCGGGCAAGACAGGCGGAAGTCACATATATTGGTTCTGCCTTGCTTCACTGCCCCCTCTCTCAGGGGATGGGGCAGTCAGAGCGAGCATCTAGCATAAATTAGGTTGCAAAAAGACTGTCTCAGAATTCCCGGGTGGAAGGCCCGGCTCATCCCGAGTGCCCCCGCAGCCCGGTTGGAGAGGCCGGTGGATGAAGAGAGCACGCCGACCGCTCCTGGTGGAAGGCTCTTGCTCCCGAGGAAGCCTTGGCTCCCCTGACGCAGCCTCTGGAGCCTGGCTTGGCACCCAGTGGGCTGAGGAGCCCCCTGAACACAGCTGGACCGACTGCGCCTCCCGTCGTGATTCCTATGCGCCAGTAGGTGGCAGCAGTGCAACGCGAGCGGGGCAGAAAAGGGGGCGGGCCCTCCTCGCGCGAACTGTGCCCCGCAGAGCCAGGCAGCGTATTCTTGTCACCGCAGAAGGTTGTCGAGAATATAAACTTGTGTAGTAATTTGGGTCATTAATTTATTTGTTAGGTATTTGTATTTTATTTGTGTAAGCTGTCCTGAGGCTCTTGCAAAGGAGGGCATTCAAATTGATTGATAGATAGATAGATAGATAGCTAGATATAGATAGAAATACAAGGATGCAGCCAAGGTCCAGGCACATGACGTCCCGGTTCCCTCTCACTCCCTGCTCGTCGCTCCATCTCCCCCATGCCAAATACCAGACTGCAAATTGGCGAGGAGCGCTTTCCTTCAGCTTCGGCTGATCCACCAGCTGCGCCCCTACCTGGAGAACAACTGCCTGGAGACAGTGACACACGCGCTGGTGACTTCCCGCCTTGACTTCTGTAACGGGCTCTACGTGGGGCTGCCCTTGAAGACGGTCCGGATACTTCAATTGGTTCAGAATAGAGCTGCCAGGCTGCTGACGGGGCGTTATGTTCACATGACTCCAGTCCTCCGCCAGCTTCACTGGCTGCCCATTGAAGTCCGGGCCCGATTCAAGGTGTTGGTTATGACCTATAAAGCCCTAAACGGCTTGGGTCCTGGTTACCTGAAGGAACGCTTACGTCCATATATGCCCAGCCGCCCCCTGAGATCAGCGGGAGAGGCCCTCCTCCAGGAACCCTCAGTGAAGAAAATTAGGAGGGTGGTTACTCGGAGGAGGGCTTTCTCAGCGGTGGCGCCTAAGTTATGGAATGCGCTCCCCAGAGAGGTCTGCCTGACGCCGTTGTTATTTGTTTTTCAGCACCAGGCGAAGACCTTTTTATTTAAAAGTCATTTTAATTGTTAATATTATTTGCTTATTTTATCTGGCCAGGGCGACTTATTTTATATTGTTAATTTGTTTTATACTTTTAATGTATTATATTTTAATTTATGTTATGAGCCACCCCGAGGCTTCAGCGAATGGGGCGGCATAGAAATGTTTTAAATAAATAAACAAACTCTGCTTTTGTGCTCTGTAAAGCACCACGTAAACGGATGGCATGGTGATCCCCCAGAACGTGGATGCGACCGTCCTTTTTATGTCAACGGCGTGTCGAGGCCGGCAGTGCCCGCCTTTGCGGATTGGCCCCTAGTGATCCTAACTAGAGATTTGTGGCTGTGGAATTTCCAGGACAGTCTGGGGTTCACAGCATCCTGGCAACCTCTCTCAGGGGCAGCTGCTGCTGCTCTCGGCAGTGTTGGGGGCAGGATCCACTTCCAGGAGGGAGAGGCAGGCCCTGCCCAAGTCCCCCAGCAGGTCTTGGGATCCTGAGCAAAGACGCGTGTCGGGAAGCGCGAGAGCTGGTGCATCCGCAGACGCGGGCAGCAGAGGAACGACTGGTGCGTGCCCTCGCCGGCAGCCTTCGTCCGCGTGCCATCCCGCAGCCGGTGCAGAATCCAGGCGTGGAGGACTCAAGTCCGTGCCAGGGCTGAGTTCGGCCTGTGCTCGGCAGATTAAGTAAATAATGGGCCGAAGCCCCTTCCCAAAGAGAAAGGAGAGTGTGTGGCCAAGATATCTAGGCAAATACATGAGCACGTCTGTAGGACTAATCTTACTGCATGCAGGATTGTACAAAGAATGGGCAAAACTCTATTCAGGGCAAAGAATATAAATCGGAGTGCTGGAAAGTTCGTCCAGCATATACAGAGCTTGTGCTGTTACTTGTGTTTATCCTGCCAGAACTGAGGACTAGAACATTGCTTTTTTTAAAGTGCAAGGAAGGCTGAACTGAGAGCCTTCAAATGCTGAGCTCCGGGCCCAGTACAAATATGGGAGAAGGTATGAAGTGTTCGGACCCACACATTCCTTGCTCTCCAGAATGCGCACGATCCTCTCAGCCCACAGCTTTTGCCAGTCGCCTCCACCCTGAGGCCCTCTTTGCGCACTTTCCCCATCATCCTAAACTAGAATGGGTACTGGGTGGGTATTATGGGAATTGGAGTCGAACACATCTGGAGAGACCAGTGTTAAGGAAGGATGCCTTTGCTTTCAGGGAAGCCTCCTAAATTCTACAAGGTTCCGCAGTCCCTCGGCTGCAAAACGTTGAGGATCGGGTCCATTTATGGTCTCAAGGAGTCAATTAGTGGCAAAGGAAAAGTGCCCCTCCCCCCGAATGACACAGCCTGGCCCTTCCCAGGGGCTAAAATCTGCCCTGGGACAGGCATGTGGGCTGTTGGAAAAGTTGGTTCTTCTACAGCAGAGATGGGCAGCCTGCTCCCCCCCCCCCAAGAAAAAGGGGGAGCAGGAAGAGAGAGAAGGGGTGGCTTCACCCGCTCTTGGCTCTGGCCTCGAGCCTCAGCATGCATCCCCCAAGAGATCACCCCGGAAAGAGCGCGTCCTTCAAGAGAAGAAGGCTCTCCATCCCGGCCAGGCTTCCACGGGGAGGGAACGCTCCCTCGTTTCGCAATGGCTTCATCAGGCAGCAGCTGGGCACGCCAGGCCGGGAGTCTGAGTGGGAAGGAAGTGTGAGGTCTCTGCGTACCCGCAGCCAAGTCAGGCCGGTCGTTTCTCTCTGCTTAGAGCAGCGGCTGCGAAGGAGAGGCCTCTTGCAGAGGGTGGGGCCCTCCAGGGGGCCCGGCCGGCCTGGCCCAGAGAACACTGTGTGACCCACTGGCTGAGCATCCCATTGGGAAGAGAGTGTCCCTAAAGACGCAGCCAAGAAACCCAACTGGCCCAGGACGGAAGAGAACCGCAAAAGCTCGTAAGCGTCGGATGGCAAAGGCTGATTTACATCCTAGCCGGCAGCGACTTTCCAGATTTCAAGGAAGGGTTTGTCCCAGCCCTTCCAGGAGATGCCAGGAATTGGGGCGTCTGGCATTCAAAGCCAGGCGCTCAGCATCTGGCGCTCGGCCGCTGAGCGAGGTCTCCGCCCTGCCCCAAGATGCACCCTTATCTCTAATTAGCTTGGATCGTTTCCTGCTCAGGAACCTGCAGCTTCCGCGTAACATGTAGCACTCCCGCCACCGCCGAAGGTCTCATTGTCCTGCCGCAGGTCTCGCTTTTCATTCCAACATCACGTTTTCGCAGGAGCCACGCTCTCTTCCCTTCTGCGTGTCTCTGCCAGCGGCAACAGCTCGGATCCGAAGCAGACAGCACTTCCTCCTTGTGTGTCCCAGAAGGGGGTCACGGGGCCGTGAGGAATCCCCCTTGCTCAGCGCTGGTCACTCCCTTCCAGAATGGCCCAGGGGGTCCCACAAACCCTCAGCTCGGCGGAAGGAAGGCGCTTCCGACAGCCAAGTTACCTGCCTAGGTGACAGCTTAGGAGAAAGTACTTTTAATGCTGCATCGGACCTCTGGCATCGTACGTGCTCCGATTGCCATTTCGAATGGTTCTTCCTGCGTGCAAGCTCCAACTCCCATTTTCTCCAGCCCTCTAGATGGGTGGCACTCGAACTTGCATCTTCCCCAGCCGGCACTGAGTTGTAGAGCAAGAAATGTGGAGGACACCTTGGAAAGGACAGAACGCCAAAAACCTCCCTTTAATCAACAGTTCGGCACTTGCGCTCATTTCAAAATTAAATCTTGCTTTTGCTGTGAGCGTTGTCTCCCCTCCCCGTTGATCCCCTGGTTGCAGCAGCAGAAGTATTGAAATCTTGTGCTGTGAAGGGAGCTGCTTATTTTATTCGGAACCCGCAGGTTCCCGGGCAGGAAACGGTCCAGTGTGGACGTGAAGGATTATTGGAAAGGTTCCTCTCCGCTCTGGCTTTTCTCCCGGAGCGCCAGGGCCGGCCGGCCGGTTCCCACTGCAGCATCTCCCAGAGTGTCTCTGGCCTCCGTGACTGGTTCAGAGCACAGCCGAGCAGCCGGGTAGAAGACGGGCGCATGAACAGGCGCCACGGAAGCCAGCTAGTCTGGGGTGGATTCTCTGAAATGTAGGGAGCTTTTGGCTTGCTCTTTTAAGCCCAGCGTTCGATGCAGTCGCAACTTGTGGCCGCAGTCCCCCATTCCAGTCCACGCTGCATCACTTGCAAGGATCAGATGGCAGGTGTGGTGTCCTTCCCTTGCTGAGAGGTGCTGGCACCGAGATCAGGTACGGCTGGGCGCTGGCCCAGCGTCCAGCCCCTGTGGGGAGCAACTGACCAGACCCCACACAGCCGCTGCCCCTCTGTGCCGCCGCTCGGAAACGCTTGCGCTCGCACAAGAGTCGCGAAGAGAAGCTCGGCCGTGCGGCGCCCTTCGCCCCCGTGGCCATGGGGCTGGGGTCACGCAGCTCTGCCCCCTCCGCTTGCTAATGCACAAAGCTGGCATGAACTAAGGGGGCCGGTACCACATGGCTGCATTCTTGGCGTCTCCGGCAGCGGAGAATAGGCAGCTCTTTAAGAGTGAGATGGTTAGTCTGTCAACGTTTGGCACATCAGCTTACCGGGGCATGGACCCCCCCCCCCCCAGGCCTCCTGAAGGCCTCCCAGAACATTTCCACCCACAAACATTTGCTCAGGAATAAAGGCCACTGTCTTTGCCAGATTTAGCCGCTACTCTGCACGCTTAGAATCACAGCACAAAAGATGCACGAGGCAAGGAAGAC